AGCTCTCTGTAGAAATCTCCTAGATATGACAGGGAGAGCCTAGGTTAAGACATATTTGGGGGCAAATGGGAAATTGATTTTTAATACATTACTAAGGAAACTTTATTTGGGATGGGAACTATACTAACAGGATTTATACAGATTGCTACTTTCTCAATACTTGTATTTTTTCTTTCAGTTTCATTATTTCTTTACCTGTTTTGCTACTTCCCCCCGCCACATTGTTTCTAAATGAAAAACAACTAAATCTATGGAATCTACCAATTCTAGTTAACAGTGCATTTGATATTTGTGTTAGCTTATTTGTAAAACAAAATTACCACCATTGATTTCTGGTGAGTTTCATATTCTTTATTTTATATTGTAACTGTTTTGGAAATACATATAAATTTTCCTAAAATTTTTGTCATTCTACTAAACTGCTTGTCATTTTGAAATGAAACCCGGTCATTTGCAACAAGATGGAGGAATCTGGAAAACATTATGCTGAGTGAAATAAGCCAGTCTGAAAGGGACAAATATCATTTGTTCTCCCTGATCGGTGACAACTAACTGAGCACCAAAAGGAAACCTGTTAAAGTGAAATGAACACTATGAGAAACAGTGACTTGATCAGCCCTTTCCTGACTGTTGATGAACAACTTAATATGTTATCCTCTTAGTATTTTTTTTTGTTTGTTCTACTTAATACTTTTGGTTGAATACTGTAATCAATACACAGTTATTCCTAAGTGTTGAAACTTAACTGAAAAATGATCACTGTTAAATATAAGAGTGGGAACAAGAGAGGGAAGAGATGTGAAATTTGGGACATGCTCAAGCTGACTTGCCGCAAATGGTAGAGTTAGAAACATACCAGGGGATTCCAGTCCAGTCCCATCAAGGTGGCATGTACCAATGCCATCTCACTAGTCCAAGTGATTAATTTCTGTTCACAATAGATCATAATGATAGGACTAAGAGTCAAAGGGATCACCTAAACAAGACTAGTGTCTGCAAATGCTAACCGATAGAATAAAAAAGGGAGAGAATGATCCAACATGGGAACCGAGATACACAGCAGACTCATAGAATGGCGGATGTCCTAAACAGCACTCTGGCCTCAGAATCAGCCCTTAAGGCATGCAGATCCAGCTGAAAAGCCCATGAGAGTATTTCAGGCATGGAAAGCCAAGACACTCTGGCAAACAAACAAACAAACAACAACAACAAAAAAACCTAAATGAAAGATCTCTGTGAGTGAGATCCCAGTGGAAAGAACAGGTCATCAAAGAAGGAGGTACCTTTCTCTGAAGGGAGGAGAGAACTTCCACTTTGACTATGACCTTGTCTAAATATGATCAGAGTCGGTGAGCTCAAAAGGCTTCCATAGCCTTGGCAACTCATGACAAGAGCCTAGGGTGATTGCTGATGCCATAAACAGGAGTGTCAATTTGTTAAGTAAACAACGGGAGTCACTGTGCACTTACTCCTCATGTGGGATCTCTGTCCTTAATGTGCTGTACATTGTGATTTAATGCTATAACTAGTACTCAAGCAGTATTTTTCACTTTGTGTTTCTATGTGGGTGCAAACTGTTGAAACCTTTACTTAATGTATGCTAAACTGATCTTCTGTATATAAAGAGAATTGAAAATGAGGCCAGCGCCGCGGCTCACTAGGCTAATCCTCCGCCTTGTGGTGCCGTCACACCGGGTTCTAGTCCCGGTTGGGGCACCGGATTCTGTCTGGGTTGCCCCTCTTCCAGGCCAGCTCTCTGCTGTGGCCAGGGAGTGCAGTGGAGGATGGCCCAAGTGCTTGGGCCCTGCACCCCATGGGAGACCAGGAGAAGCACCTGGCTCCTTCCATTGGATCAGCGGCAGTTCTCCGGCCGCAGCGCGCAGGCCGAGGTGGCCATTGGAGGGTGAATCAACGCAAAAAGGAAGACCTTTCTCTCTGTCTCTCTCTCTCACTGTCCACTCTACCTGTCAAAAAAAAAAAAAATATTGCTTTAAACTGGTCGGTTTTTCAGTGGATTTTAGAAAATGGCTCACAAAATTTTCATATTTCCTGTTGGATGGCTTATTTGAGTGGCAGTGAAATGTTTTAGATTCAAGTTAGAAGTTATGGAGAACATATAGGGAAGTTTCTATGGATCCATCTCTTACTAATCCTTGGTTCAGTGGAATATACACAAATATGGAATCAGCTGACCTGGATTACTGAAGTCTGTCTACTGTGGAGTCCCTTCCCTGCTTCTTAGTAGAAATCAGATAAGCTGAATTTGTGACAGCATTGTAAACTTACTTAATAACTGTGAGATGGAAGAGAGAGAGAGATCCCTATAGAAAAAAATGACATGGGAATGGTGAGCAACTAAATACTTTAAACTGTGTAACTATGTGACAAAGCCTTTTGGTTATAGATTTTCAGTGATAATATCAAAATATGTGCAAAATATAAGTCAACAAAGGATAGTAAAATCTCTGAATGTGTATGTTCTAGGGACATAAAATAAACTTATGTGAGGGCCGGTGTTGTGACATAGTGGTGAAGTCGCTGCCTGAAGTGCCGGCATCCCATATAGGTGCCGGTTCGAGACCCAGCTGTTCCTCTTCTGATCCAGCTTTCTGCTATGGCCTGGGAAAGCTGTAGAAGATGGCCCAAGTCCTTGGACCCCTGCAGTCACGTGGAAGACCCAAGAGAAGCTCTTGGCTCCTGACTTCAGGTTGGTGCAGCTCAGGCTGTAGCGGCCATCTGGGGAGTGAACCAGTAGATACAAGATCTCTCTCTCTCTCTCTCTCTGCCTCTCCTTCTCTCTCTGTGTAACTCTTTCAAATAAATAAATAAATATTTAAAAAATAAACAGGCTATAGAAATTTCATTTTCATTATCTTTTTTCTCTTTCTCACTACCCCTCCCCCTTTTATTTTTAATTCAGTCCTGCTAACTTTATGTGGTTCATTAAAGGCTGGAGGATTCTAAGGCTGCTAAAATTTGCCTTAGCTTCTATACTTGTGGCGACATTACCAGCACACAGTAGTGATATACAAATAGTGTGGATTATGCTAGAAGCTGTGGAGGTACCTTCCTAAAGTTCTGGTAGGGTAACTTGAAACATTTATGAAATATCCTATACTTTGGGCAAAGACTAGAGTCTGATTTCTGCATTTTTTGGGTCAAATTTGTTCAAATAATCAGCATAGCACTAATGAGAAGTTTCCTTGGAAGACACCTAATTAGTGCAAAGAATTTAATACTTTGAATTATAGACCCTCAGTTTTGGGAGGATTCATAAAGATAACTTGTTATAACTATATCAGTTTCCTGGGGATCTTGCAGTATTACCACTGATCACACAGCCTTAAACTCCTTAAACTCTTTTGGGTTTCCCATTTCCCCATAACTGAGATAAAATCTGTTACATTGTAGTTTCACTGCTTTCAATTCCTTGGGGCCATGGAAAATATTCTAATCCATGATGACTATGCATATATTTGAAAATAATTCTGATTTCTTTGCATTTTTCCCCCAAGTGAACTGTGAATTTACTGCTTACTTGAGAATTTCTCTCCTGAAGGCATTTGAATTTATCCTTATCCTTTGACAGAACTGAATGTGATATTCTTGTGCTGACCAGCACAGAATATAGTAGTAAATAGATAAAAAAAAAAACTATGGTTTTTAAAGTTGGCTAAAATGAACTCCTTTTGGAAGGCATATACCACTGTTATAGACTTATTATTCTGTATTCTAACTGCCAAACTTCTTTATTTTAGCAATCCTGCTTTGTAAAGTACTCTTTGCAAGTTCATGAGTCATCTCCAAATAACAACAACAATGGTCTCTTAGTCTTTATTTTCCTTCTAGTCTCAGTTACCCTTTAATCATGCATTTTTGGAAACTCTTAATATCCTTAAATATCAGCACATTTCATTACACAAGTTTTCCTTAGTTAACATTCTTCTCCAACCTATTATATACAACAAGCTCAGTTCTTGTGCTTGTGCTTCTGCTACCCTATACTTTCTCCTTTAGTGAGTTCATTCAATTTACTCTTAGAATTTCAACTGTTATCTCTACTTGACTAATTCTAGATCTCTCATGAATGAATGGAATTATTATCCTCTTAAATCAACAGTTATTTATTCCTTCCTAGTTTATTACCAATTTTTTTCACCTAGTTGTAAAAGTTACAGAGTCACCAATTGTTTCATTGCTTTCTTTTCCATATATGTATTCAGGACAATCGTCATAAAATAGTGACTCTTTTTTGAAAAAAAATCTCACATTTGTCCCCCATATTTATTCTTTTCCGTGGCTTACTCCAAACATCTTTCATTATATACTACTTGATGCTTATTTTCTTCAATCTATTTTTTTGCACAATCACAACACTAACATATTTTGTAATGCAACCCTTTTCACTATTTTGCCTTTTCAGACACTGCAGAAGGCTTTCAGCTGCCTACGAAATAAAATATAAATTCTTAGGCTGTTTTTCAAACTCATAAATGCCTTCCTCTTCAAAATTAAATATTAACATGCCTCTAATCAGTCTTCTGTGTCAGAAAAATTACCTACTGACCCTGGAGTAGGGCTTGCCAGCCTTTCAGCCCTTTCCCTCCCTCTGTTCTTTCTACTACACTAGCGTTACATCCTAGCCGTCTTTTGAGACACATCAAATACCACCACTCCCTTCCTCATGAAACAATCATCTTACTTTCTGACCATAAGATGTTCCTGAACTCTTATTTTATTGTCCATCTAAACTATTTTGACACCTCGATTTTGCTTTTTAAATTGTCATGTACACATTTATCACTATCCAAGTATATGTTACAAGCTTTGTTGCAGGTACTCTGACTTATTTGTCTGTATGTATCTTTTATTGCTTGAAGAGGACCTTGTAAACATTAGGTCTATCATGATGTGTATTGTTTGGTGGGGCATGCTACCATGGAGATAGCTACCATGGAGATAGACTACACAATAAAGAAATTATTGTACATTTCTTTAATCAAATGTTTTATTTTAAGAAGCATCTAATCTTTCTTGACTGAGTAATATATGCATCAAGTTATAAAATAAGCATTGGGAAGTGAGGATTGTGGTTGAGAGGTCTAAGAAATGGTGAAACTTTTGAAGAGCAAAAATTGTACGTATATGAATAGAAGGGATTTTATAATTATAGTCAATTTGGCGATAGCTTGGATATGGCTTGTATCTGGAGGATGGGGATCATAATGATCAGTTGTCCTATGGACCTTTCTTTTATTTACCCTTACTCTTCCACTTCTTATACTTCTTTTCTCTACTTGCCTTTGCCCTTTATTGAGCCCTTTACTGATTCGGTCTTTCCTTTACCTTTGTCTTTTCCATTATCACCTTCCTTGGTTTTAGCATCTTTTCTTTCTTCTTGATCCTTTTTTGCATCTTCCATTATTTTGCCTGTATTTCCTTTGTCATCAGAGCTGTCATTATCTTGGGTTTCTTGTCCTTCTGATAGTTTTTTCTCACTTGTCTGTTTTTGAACTTCATATCCTGGTACTTTTCTCTCACTTGTCTTTTTTGGACTTCCTGTACTTCTTGTACTTCTTCCTCACTAGTCTTTTTTTGAACTTCCTGTACTTGGTACTTTTCTCTCACTTGTCTGTTTTTGGACTTCCTGTCGTGGTACTTTTCTTTCACTTGTCTGTTTTTGGACTTCCTGCACTTCTTCCTCACTAGTCTGTTTTTGGACTTCTGTACTTCTTCCTCACTAGTCTGTTTTTGGACTTCCTCTCCTGGTACTTTTCTCTCACTTGTTTGTTTTTGGACTTCTTGTTTGATGCTTTTCTCTCACTTGTCTTTTTTTGGACTTCCTGTGCTTCTGGTACTTTTTCCTCATTATTCTGTTTTTGGGCTTCCTGTACTTCTTGTACTTCTTCATTACTAGTCATTTTTTGGACTTCCTGTTCTAGTATTTTTTTCTCACTTGTCTTTTTTTGGACTTCCTTTCCTGGTGCTTTACTCTCACTCGTCTTTTTTTGGACTTGCTCTCCTTCTGGTACTTTTTCCTCACTTGATTCCTGTCCTTCTGGTACTGCTTCCTCGTGTGTCTTTTTTTGTGATCCCTGAACTACTGATACTTCCTCTTCACTTGTCTTCTCTTGGGCTTCAGGTCTTTCTGGTATTATGGAATCACTCTTCTTTATTTGAGATTTTTGTCTTTTTGGTATTTCAGCATTACTGCCTACCTCGACATCCATCCCTTTCTTCTCTTTTTCCAATTCATTGTCTTTTGTCCTTCTTTTTGACTCTTTTTTGTGTATTGATATCAAAGATTCAGCAGAATCTGTAAATATTTCTTTTTTTAGTGCTTTCCTGCTTTCTTCTAGAGCCTTTTGAGAACTTGTAGTTCCTCCACGTTTTAGAATCTGGGCTTTGGAATCTGATTTTTTTGCATATTCTCCATCCATGTAACCTGGAAGTATAACTGAGCATACAACAAAGTGCATGATACGGATATCAAATATTTTCTCTTTACCCTTATTTTCCCCAGATATTGGTTCATTTTTTACAAATTTAAACTGACAAACAGATGGTAACTTGAGATATTCCCAAAATATTAAAATGGTGGAAATCTATGCATAAAATTATAGAAGTATTACTCCTCATGGAGGATCTCTGTCCTTAATGTGTTGTACTATGAGAATTAATGGTATAACTAGTACTCAAACAGTACTTTACACTTTGTGTTTCTGTGTGGGTGCAAACTGTTTAAATCTTTACTTAGTATATACTAAATTGATCTTCTGTATATAAAGATAGTTGAAAATGAATCTTGATGTGAATGGAATAGGAGAGGGAGTGGGAGATGGGATGGTTGCGGGTGGGAGGGAGAGGTTATGGGGGGAAAAGCCACTGTAATCCAAAAGCTGTACTTTGGAAGCTTATATTTATTAAATAAAAGTTAAAAAATAATTCTAGCCCAAGGGGAAAAAGACTATTCTTAATAAACTGGAAAGCTAATTAGAGAAAAGGTAAATGTATTATAAATGAACTGGTGTTTGTTCACTGGATTATGACTAGCAAGTTCAAGACTAAAGAAAGATGTTTTCAAAAAAGAAAATTTATTTTAAGGAAAAATGGTAAGAAGCAATAACTATCTTTTTTTTTTTTTTGACAGGCAGAGTGGACAGTGAGAGAGAGAGAGACAGAGAGAAAGGTCTTCCTTTGCCATTGGTTCACCCTTCAATGGCCGCTGCAGCCGGCGTGCTGCAGCTGGAGCACCATGTTGATATGAAGGCAGGAGCCAGGTGCTTCTGCTGGTCTCCCATGGGGTGCAGGGCCCAAGCACTTGGGCCATTCTCCACTGCATTCCTGGGGCACAGCTGAGAGCTGGCCTAGAAGAGGGGCAACTGGGACAGAATCCGGCGCCCTGACCGGGACTAGAACCTGGTGTGCCGGCGCTGCAAGGCAGAGGATTAGCCTATTGAGCCACGGCGCTGGCCTAACTATCTTTTAAAATGGAAAAAAACCCGTAAATATGCTTTCTGTATTGAATAAAATCATATCTCATTATATAATAATAGAGCTACTTGATAAATATTTGCTTACCATACACCAGGCACTTTTCTGAGCATTTTATATATTAAATCATTTAATCCTTTTAGCAATTTTAGGTACTATTATTATGTTCACTTTACAGGAGAAGACACTAAAGCACAGAAAATGAATGTGAATAAGATCATGAAATTAGTATGTGGTGGAGTTGGGATTTGAACCCGTCTAGTGAGAGTCAATAATTTAGTTCTAGCCATCATATTAGACTGCTCTTTGCAATAGTTGCTGGTTCATTCTGCAACAATTTCAGATACCTTTAATCATGTGCAGGTAAATCAACTCTGCTATGTATCAATATCTGTGTGATGTACTAAACTTGAATTTGTTAGCTTTTGCCAATTGTGATTCATTTGGTTCTCTCTCTCTCTCTCTCTCTCACTCATGATTTGCTTTCATCAATAGAGTAAAAGAAATACCTTTTTTATTTATTTAAAGTTTTGTTTATTTGAGAGGTGGAGAAGTTGTGATAGAGATAAAGAGTGTGCTTCTATCTGCTGGTTCACTCTCCAAATGCCCACAATGACCAATACTGGGTTGGGCTGAAGCCTGGAGTTGGGAATGCAATCCAAGTTTCCCAAGTGTGTGTCAGTAACAAGATCAGCAACCAAATCATTTGAGCCATCACAGCTGCCTCCAGGGTTTGCACTGGCAGGAAACGAGTAAGGAACCTGAGCCTACTGTGGCATGGAGGCTTCAAAAACTTAATGGCTAAATGCCCACTCAAAGAGATAGCTAAGCTACAAAGGAAAGTTGTGTGAGCTCTTGCTATGAAGCAGAGGGATATTTTTGCTTTGAAAAGAAAAATCAATATTTATTATTTAAACTGACAGAATACCAAATTTAAAATTGAATCAGAACACCTGGGTTTATTTTTTTTATTATTATTATTTTTTTTTTTTGACAGGCAGAGTGGACAGTGAGAGAGAGACAGAGAGAAAGGTCTTCCTTTGCCGTTGGTTCACCCTCCAATGGCCGCCGCGGCTGGCGCACTGCGCTGATCTGATGGCAGGAGCAAGGTACTTATCCCGGTCTCCCATGGGGTGCAGGGCCCAAGGACTTGGGCCATCCTCCACTGCACTCCCTGGCCACAGCAGAGAGCTGGCCTGGAAGAGGGGCAACCGGGACAGAATCCGGCGCCCCGACCGGGACTAGAACCCGGTGTGCGGGCGCTGCAAGGCGGAGGATTAGCCTAGTGAGCTGCGGCGCCGGCCACACCTGGGTTTAAAATGCCTGCTAACTGGGTTTGTTTGGTTAAATCAGTGAATATTCCAAAGAGTTTGCTTTCTTATGGTTAGTCTGCTGTGCTTACTTTGTAGCGGTATTGAAGGATTCTAGACAAATGATAAAGAAGCATTGGATACAGCATTGGATAACCATTGGACACAGATGTTCAAATCCTGTCTGCATACTTAACTAGCTGGGTGACACTGAACAAACTTCACTTTCTTATCTATAATTGAGGACAAAATTAGGGGATTAACTAATATTATTTAAGTAAAGCACTCAGTATCCTGCATAAAACATAGTAAGTAGTCAATAAATGTTGACTCTTACTACTGCCAAATGAGACCATACAGACAAAAACTCTCTTACCCAGTCAAGACAAGATATTCATAATTCTCAATAAAAATTTAGAGGATCAGCTAACTGTATTACAGGAAAATTTCTCGCTTAAGAATTAATTATTGGACTTTTAATGCAGAAGACTTCAGGTACATTTAGTTTGATGTTTGAAAACTTGATGTACATATAACTTTGGCATTTTATCCATTGTAAAATTAGGCACACCTGTGTTATGTAAGAAGGTAATTATAAATCAAAAAGAATATTGTACTTCCGTGTTTTCTAAAATTTTGACACAAAATAAAAATATGTGTATCCTCTCCATGCTCTTCATTAAAATATGGGCACTGACATTTTATTCTAGACAAACTCATTTCTAATTTTTTAAAGAAAGTCAGTGATAGATATTTGCATATCCTGAACATTGTTCAATTATGGAAAATAATGATTTCTGACAGTTTTATCAGCAGCCGTTATTTTATTTGGGGTATGGCACTGTGTGAAATGGTATGGAGAAGTGTTTTTGCATTGACATTTATATCCTTAAGAATTCTGTGAGATGTGCTAAAAAAGCTGATCCTTCTTAATATATGAAATATTATTATTTTTACTATCTCTTGAGAGTAACTGTTTTCTATTTTCTGTAAAACTTCATGATCTACTTTGTAAAGCTGAAATTATCTTCTACATTGTATAGATTTTGTTAACAAAAATGAAATATTCTAGGATTTAATGAAACACTCAGGTTGTTTTCTACCTACAGCTTTCCTAATTTCATGGAATTAAATTTTTTTCTTATCTTTCCCAATACACTGAAATATACATTTCTAGTAGTATCTTCATATTCTTCATTGTTGTTAGTCTATTTTCTGTTATCTTTTCTATCTTGAATTTTATTAGAAATTAATAGGATTTACTTTTCAGGAACTCAGCTACCTGATAAAGTGAGGTCCACTTTTATTTCAAGTTTGCATTGCATGGGGCTGGCGGTGGGGTGCAGTGGGTTATAGCCCTGGTCTGAAGCGCCAGCATCCCATATGGGCACCGGTTCAAGACCTGGCTGCTCCACTTCCCATCCAGCTCTCTGCTATGGCCTGGGAAAGCTGTGGAAGATGGCCCAAGTTCTTGGGCCCCTGCACTTGCGTGGGACACCCGGAAGAAGCTCCTGGCTCCTGGCTTCGGATCGGATCGGTGTAGCTCTGGCTGTTGCGGCCATCTTGGGAGTGAACCAACAGATGGAAGACCTCTCTCTCTGCCTCTCCTCTCTCTCTGTAACTCTGACTTTCAAATAAATAAAATATTTTAAAAAAGTTTGCATTGCACAAATATCACAAATCATCATTCCATCACATTCTGAATTCTTCTCTTTGTTCTCTCATATGTTAAACAGTGCATACTTTTTGCTTCCCTTTGAACTTCACAATTATCTTATATTTAAAGTATAAATATTTATAGTGGAAAGATTTGAAACCCTTGGGTGAAAGTTCACTTATTTCAAGCAGTAGCTCATGTGACAAAATTCATTATACTCAAAAGATTTTAAATTGGATTAATTTTTGTTAAAGGTGAAAGATATAAAGTAGTTATCATATTAATAATTATAGTTATGTGATGCTTAAAATAATGTACAAAAGTAGATCATGTAAATTATTAAGAAACTAATCATATGTTCTTAATCCAGTGGTTAACATGGGAGAGCAAAATCAGATCTAGAATGTAAAAGATCTGTTAGGAGTGGGTGTTATGGTACAATGGATCAAGCCACTGCTTGGAATCCTGTCTGTAAAAGCGTACTGGTATAAGTCCTGGAGCAGTTAAGACTGGACAAATATGCAGCAGCTAGCATGAAACTACCAGCAACTCTTGTGGCCAGTAGATACACCATAATCTCAGACTTAGGTGAGATAAAACTGCAGCAGCCCATATATCACTGGTGATCTTGTCTGAGGGAGAACCTCACGGCCCCACTGAATCCACTGAATCCAGCTTGAAGAGCTGGTGGGGAGCAGGGTTCCCACCTAACCCCCATGAAGGGAGGGCACGTTGATTTCCTTCCCTCCCCTTACCAAGGTTACCAGTGATCAGCAGGAAGGAAGCACCTTCTTCCCAGAGTGAGGCGAGTAAAGGAGGCTATGGCCCAGGCCACTGGTGGATTTTTCTGAAGCAGAAAGCCAGTCCTCAGTTACTTTGATTCTGGCATGGAGAGTTGGAGGGGCAATGTGCTTACTTAGTTTCATGAGGAGAGGGCACATTGCTCTCCTCCCTGATAAAATTGATCAGGTTTGTGAGCTGGAAGACCACACTTTCACCCTTCGAAGGTCACACCTTCGCCCCTGTGTGACCTCCTTGCCCTTACCTGGACACATCTGTGTGCTCACCAGCCAATCAGGCTAATTAACCATTTCCATTTGGAAGTGGATTAAAGGCCTGGGACATAGTGGGCCCAGCTATTTTTTGGCCATTTGCCATTGTGAGCCAGTGCTGCCCTGCAACTCCAGGGCATGTGGCCTTTGGGCCACTTGCCCCATGCTTCCTGGCCTGTATGCACCTCCACGTGGCTGACTCTTGGTACTCAGTATGAACCCAGATTTCTCTTAGATAGGGCCCTCACTCTCCTATGACTTTCTCCCACTGAATAAAAAGGCTTAAAACTTAAAAAAAAATACCTCACCAAAAGGACACACACACACACACACAGACTGAAAGGAAAAGAAATAAAAGACTAGCAGGAGTATCTATCCTATCATCAGACAAAATAATCTTTAAGACAAAAGCTGTTAAAAGAGACAAGGGCATTATGCAATGATTAAGGGATCCATTTAACAGGAAGATGTGACTACAGTAAATGTATGTGTTAGGGCATTTGGCTATTAAAACAAATGTTAATGTGTCTAAAGGGTGACATATGCTGCAATAGAGCAATAATGGGATATTAAACACCCACTTCCATCAATGGACATACCATCTAGACAAAAATCCAACAAAAAAATCAGTAGAGTTATCTACACATCCACTCAAATGATTCTAATTGATACCTACAGAACATTTCATCCCACAGCAGCAGAATACACATCTTGTTCATCAGTGCGTGGAACTTTGTCTAAAAGGTAAAACACTCTAGAACATAAAACAAGTCTCAAAAAACTCAAAAAAGGTGTAATTATACCATGTATCTTTTCTGACCACAAAGGAATGAAGTTAAAATTAACACTTTAAGAAACTCTAGAAAATATGCAAACACATGGAAACTGAAAAACCTATTCCTGAATGAACAGTAGGTCATAGAATAAATCAATCAAGAGAGAAATAAAAGATTCCTATAACTGAATGAAGGTGACATCATAGCATATCAAAACTTAGGGGATACAGCAAAAGCAGTAATAAGGGGTTGATGTTGGGACATAGTGGGTTAAGCCACTGCCTACAACACTGGCATCCCATATGGGTGCCTATTTGAGTCACAGATGCCCGGTTTCCAATCCAGCTCCCTCCTAATGGCCTGATAAATGCAGTAGAAGATGGCTCAAGTTCCCTGTCACCTGTATGGGAAACCACAATGAAGCTCCTGGCTCTTGGTTTCAGCCTGGCCTAGTGCTTGCCATTGCAGTCATCCGGGTGGTGAACAAGCAACTTGAAGATTCCTCCCTCCCCCTCCCTCTTTCTCTCTCTCTAGCTCTGACTTTTGAAAAAATAAATCTTTAAAAATGTAAAAGAAAGAGTACTAAGAGGCAAGTTCACATAAATGATATAACAATGCATCTCAGGTCCTAGAAAAATAAGAGCAAACCAAATGCACAATTAGTAGGAGGAATGAAATAATAAATAAAAAAACTGAAATAAAAAATACAAAAGACCAGTGAAATGAAAAGTTGTTTTCATGAAAATATAAACAAAATTGGTAAACCTTTGGCCCAACTAACCAAAAAAGAAAAGGGAGAAGGCCCAAGTTAAAATCAGATATGAAAAAAGGAGATGTTACAACAGATACCACAGAAATAGAGTCATCAGGGATTACTACAAATAGCTATGTGCCAACAAATTGGAAAATATAGAAGAAATAGAAAGAAATAGATTTCTAGACACATACAATTTACCACATCGACACATCAAGACATAGAAAACCTGAATAGACCAATAATCAAAATGAAGGTGTAATCAGTATTAAAGACCCAACAGTAACAACAACAAAAGCCCAGTACAGATAGCTTTACTGCTGAATTCAAGCAAACTGTTAAAGAACTAATCCCAATTCTTCTTAAACTATTCAAGACAGTTGAAAAGGAGGGAATTCTCCCAAACTCCTTCTATGAGGCCGATACCACCTTAATTCCAAAACCAGAAAAAGATGCAACAAAAGAAAAATAGACAAGTATCCCAATGAGAATAGATGCAAATATCCTTAACAAAACACTAACTATATAAATAAATAAACATAAAAATTCACTAAAAACCAATTTACATCCTGGAAGAGACAGCCTGCTACCTGTTCTTAGAGCCTTTGTATTTTTGAGAGTTCTTCTGACTTAAGTTGACACATAAATTTAACTATCACAGATATCCCTCTTTCTTTTTGTAAGGAAAACCTATTAGGTCACATTCCTACCATCTTCTCTAAGTGGGGTGGGTATTTGCAGAATGTTGGCACATACTGACTGCTTGAATGCATATTGTTTCTTGTACCCTGAATCAGAAAGAATAAAGTTAAAATTATATATAAAACATTTTATATCTGTTGGTGTTTAGAATGCTTGAAATGGGTCACACTAAATTTAAAATATTAAATGGGAAGTCTCCTATTTTTAAAAGGAATTTTTGTGTGCATTTAATTATTCAACTCTGTAGTACATGTATTTTTTTATTTACAAACATTTGATTAATATATATGTTTTCATGACTAATCATTAAAAAGGCATTTGTGGAAAGAGTATGTACTTTAGAGACCTAGATTTAAATCCTGACACGGCTGTTTTCCAATTTCAGGAAAATATCTGAGTGACTTTCCTGATCTGTAAAGAAGGAGATAGTAACAACTAGCAGGCAAGAGAGGGAGCTACTGCTTCTGAAAGTACACAGTGTGTAGCAGGTGCTTAATACTTACTGTTCCTCAAAACTAAGGTATTTAGAAGATGACAGCAAGTAGATGAAATTTTGTTCTTAAATAGTCTTTTTTTCTATTAATAAATACTCAGGTGGCCTTTACTTACAACTAAAAAAGAGTTTTCTTTCTTTTATTTTTAATTTTTATTTACTTATATTTTTAGGCTGTCAATATTCTTTTTTATTTATCTAGCTTTAAAAACACTTAACAGGCCGGTGCCGCGGTTCACTAGGCTGATCCTCCGCCTGCAGCGCTGGCACCCCGGGTTCTAGTCCTGGTTGGGGCACCAGTTCTGTCCCGGTTGCTTCTCTTCCAGTCCAGCTCTCTGCTGTGGCCCAGAAGGCAGTGGAGGATGGCCCAAGTGCTTGGGCCCTGCACCCGCGTGGGAGACCATGAGGAAGCACCAGACTCCTGGCTTCAGATCGGCGCAGCGCGCCGGCCGTAGCGGCCATTTGGGGGGTGAACCAGCGGAAGGAAGACCTTTCTCTCTCTCTCTCTCTCACTGTCTAACTTTATCTGTCAAAAATAAATAAATAAATAAAACACTTAACAGACATGTAAAGATTGTATATAAGTGATGTTCTCATACTGTATCAACTTCTTACTATTGCTATAACAAAAAAAAGTTTTTAATTCCCAGCAAAGAATTAATAAAACTCAGAAATCAATCTTTCTTTCATTATATTTTGCTGGAATCATGAGGATTTTTAGCAGCAATCCTTCTGAAAGTAGTTATACTTTCTGACAGATAATAGAGACATTTAAGTAACCTTTGAAGAAGAATTCTCTATTTTGGGATAAAAATAGCCAGGCCAGAAAATAAAATAGAAGCAATGTAAAATATCAGAGTTGAAGATAGATAAGGAACTTACCCACAGGAGAAAGTGCTAAAAATAAAACACAAAAGAAAGATCAGTAGGGATTCTTTAACTTATGGAGAACTTACTTTCCCATGATATATTTTCTAAGTCAATGCAGAAACAGGACCTCTAGAGAGTATAAAACTTTCTGCTTCGTCATCAGGAGTACTGCTCACCAAAACTCTATATCCCCTTCCACAGAGACTGTTATATTTGGGATGTCATTTAGCTAGTGCCATTGAATCCTTGGGTAACTAATATCAGTCCCAACAAATCCAAACCATATAGTTTTGTTCTTTCATAAGTCAGTTTGTTATCCGCTATCATGATCAGTTTGGAAAATGTATATTGTTCGTCAGTTATCAATATCATCATTTGTCTGTACGTCTATTTTATATCTATTTTAGGAGATTTTTTTTATCAACAATCATTATTTGCCAGAGTATAGCACAGAGAAAATAGGCTCTGTTGTGATAGACTAACTGGAAATAAATGCAATCAATAATTTTGGTAATAGATAATTAGACTCCAATACAAGAATATCAAATTTTCTTGCAAAAGTAAAATAGGTAAGAATAAATAAAATTGAAAATCAAGGGAACCACTGACTTAAGGAACAACGCCTACTCTGAGGTAGAAGACCTTGTCATGTAAGCAATATGGGAACAAAACCCATAGGTTCTAGAATCAGAGATTGGTAAGAAAGCAAATGATATGAACTTACTGATTTTTCCAGAACTGTCCACTGAAGGAAGCAAAGACAAACGCATTAGTAGATATTGGGGTTCCCCTCCTTTCAATTCCCAAGCTTTGGATGGACTAGGCCATTAACAACTAAATTCTGTTTATTTAAGAGTGAGAAGCCTTCATTTCCCTTCCCTATTTCTTGACTATTTGGTTTGTTGTAGTTTGGAAAGAACTTGTGATAAGAAAATTAAATGAACTTTACTTTTCATTAATCCTTATCAGTTTTGCCCATGGTTTTAAGACTACAGTTTGCAAAATATAGATGCATTATGGTCTTGTTTTGAAGATACATGCTAACACTATTTACTAATGATGTTTGTTGTGAAGTATTTATGATACTGAAATAAAGATATATCTCTCAGGGTGATTTTCCTTGGTATATTTAGTACAAAAAGCACAAATAATAGGAAAGCATGAAATTGTGAGAGAGACAATACGATAACCAGAGATGAAAATGTAGTTATGTAAACTCTATGTCAGGGGTTGGCAAATTATAGCCTATGGGACAAATCTAGTTTGCTGCCTGTTTTAGCTTTTTGAGGTAAGAATGGATTTTACATTTCTAAATGGTTGAAAACAGCAGTCATAATACTTAGTGACACACTGAAATTACATAAATTCAAATTTCAAGAAGTCTACAAAGAGTGTTTTATTGGGACAAACACATGCTTATTCTTGTATGTATTGCCAATGATTGCTTTTGTACTACAACAGATTTAAGTACTTGTGACAGAGACTTTATGGCTTGTAAAATCTAAAATATTTATTATCTAGCTTTTATAGAAAATGTTTGTCCTCCTCTTCCCCTCCCTCCAGCCCTTAGAGGAAACTAACGTACTAGAAACAGGTAAAAACCTTAGAGAGTGTGCATTGTGGCACAGTGGGTTAAGCCGCTGCATAGGATGCCCGCAACTCATATCAGAATGCTGATCCTTAACACTGGGCTCCTCTGCTTCTGATACAGCTTCCTACTAATGCACTGAAGATGGTAGCAGATGATGGCCCAAGTACTTGTTTTTTTTTTTTTTTTTTTTTTTTTTTTTGCCACTTTTGCAGGAAACTTGGATGGAGTGCCTGATTGCTGGTTTTGTTCTGGGGCCAGTCCTGGCTATTGTGTAAATTTGGAGACTTAATCAATAGACAGAAGATCTCAATCTCTCTCCCTTTCTCTTTCTCTGTCCACTTTTAAAATAAATAAATCTTAAAAAATAAAAAAGAAACATACCAGTGGGTATGTGAGCTATTCCTGAAAAATCAAAACAAGAAGATAGGTTAATTGTAGAATTTTTAAATAAGAAATACAATTTTTCTCCCCACTCTCATTTCTCTAATTCTTCTAGATACCATCGAGACCTCTAGTAGGGAATGAACTGTGGTGGCATAACAATCTACTAGTGTGTTACAAGAATTTTGTACTTTTACCTGCCTTTGTAAGGCTCCTTGTGTTCCAAGTTACTGTCATCTCTCTGATTGCTCTCTCTGCTTTCACCTTTGCCTCCTAGACAGTTCTCAATAGAGCAACCAGAAGGAGCCTTTTAAACTGTCAGACCCCTGTGCTTAGGAGCTACCAAATGCTCCCTAAGTTGCTTGAGCCAAAGCTGGTCATTACAGTCTCTTGCAAGAAGGGTTTAGAAAACCTATTTCCTCATAGCTGTGTGGTAGATTCTCTTTGTGTCTTTTCCATTCTTCTCCAGTTATACAGGCTTTCTTGTTTTTCCCAACGCCTTTCTACCCAGTTTGGTTTACTTGTGGTCTCCTTTGGTTGAAATATTTCCTCTTAGATATCTGCATGGCTAATTCTTTCATGTCTTTCATGTTCCATCTAGTAGTTCTATCAAATGCTGAGTATGGGGTATTAAATTTATTAACTATAATTGTGAATGTTTATGTTTACTGTTTTCAGCTCTATAAGATTTTTTCTTATGTATTTTTAAGCACTTTTATGTGCATGCATATTTAAGATTTCTGTCTTCTTGATGCATTGATGTATATTGTTATCTTTGTCATTAGTAATTTTCTTTGCACTGAGCCCTATTTTATATTATATTGATACTGATACCTCTGCTGTTTTAAAAAATAATGTTATGTTATCACAGCTTATATATCATATTTGTTATTGTTAGTATGTTATTGTAATAATTAAAGGAAAAAAGGATGGGGATTGGATTCAGGGAGGGAGGAAGGAAAAGAGGTAGGGAACTACAGTTTTCTTAGAATTTTATCTATGAAATATGTTAAGACTATTCTCTTTATGCTAAAAAAACTATCTTGAGGGGATTGAAGTACAATTAAAGTTGTCTATATAAAAATATTTGAAGTAAGTTCTTATAGATAGCATTTCGTTGGGTCATGCTTTTTATTGATCTGTTAGTATAAGTTTATTAATTGGTATTTTTAGACCTACTTTTTTTTTCTTAAATGAAAACATATATTTATGAAATTTGCACCAGTATCATGAAAGACAAGTCTCAATTCAGTTCTTTCAAGGAGGGGGAGTCAGAGAAGGCTTTTATTTTTCAGCGCGGGTGGTCCAAGACCCCTCCTTCCCACCCAGAGGAGAGAAAAAGAGAGAAATTCTACCTTCTGCTTCATTCCCAAATGCGTACAAAGGCCAGGGCTGGGCCGGACCAGTGCTGGGAGCCAGAAATGCAATTTAGGTCTCCCACATGGATGGCAGGAGCCCTATTATTTGAACCATCACTGCTGCATCCCAGAGTCTGCGTTGGTGCGAAGCTGGAGTCAGGAGCCAGAGCTGGGAGTGCAGTTTGCAGGAATCTTTACCACTAGGCTAAATACCTAATCATTTAACACTACTTTTGACAACTCTATTCCTTTCTTTTTCTATTCTTTGGATTATGTCCCTCTTTATACTCTCACTTGATACATCTTTTAATTTTGCTATTTCTGCCTTTTATTTTGTTTTGTGACCCTATAGTTTCAGAATGGAATATGAAATTCTTAAGTGTATTCTTTCCCGTGGTCTTTCCTGTGATCTGACTCCAATATCTTTTGCTCGCATGATTTCCCTTTGTTTTTCTTTTCTAACGTAATTCTCTAGCAAGAAGAACATTTTTTAGTCCTTTCCATGTGATTTATTTTATTTCTGTGAACGTTGACTAAGAAACTCCAAACCAAATGAAACAAAAAACCAAAACAATAATAATGGTAATGGCAACAACAACAAACTTAAAAATAAAACTATTTTTAACTTATAGGAATATTAGAAAATACAGAAGAAAAGAGATGGAAAACAATTTGACTCTCAGGGTTCAGGATTTTCATATGTCAAAGTGTCAGCAGGGGTTTGTGCTGTGGCATAGCTGGTAAAGCCACTGCCTGTGATGCCAACACCCCATATCCACACTGGTTCCCATCCCAGCTGCTTCACTTTTAATCCATCTTCCTCCCTGCTAATGGCCTGGAAAAAGCAGAAGATGACCCAGTTGCTTGAACTCCTGCCACTCACATGGAAGACATGAAAGAAGCTCCTGGCTCCTGGCTTCTACCTGGCCCAATCCTCACCATTGTTTAGTAGTGATTTCTGATTTATGTCAATTTATAATTAAGTTATTATTCATTGTTCCAATAATGTAGAAGAAGGAAAATGAGAAATGGTTTGCTTGGAAGTAATTAGAAATTATGCTGAATAGAGATAATACAAACTAAAAAATAAATTACAAAGTCACATAGTTGCTGTTTTAACTGGAATTTGTACTTTGATCCATCTGATTTCTTTCTCAACTACCATTATCTATTACCTTTGCATTATATAACCCATTAGCATCATGCAAGCAGTTTTATTATATATTTAGAATTCTTCCCTAAAACTTATCTCTAGAAATGAAATTATGAGCTTAAACAAAATTTGCTTTCTAAAAGAATCAGGTTAATTTAAATGGGATCAGTAATATATGACTATGTAAATTTCACCAGAACAAGGCCAGCACTTATTATGTTTGTAAATACTACCTCAGGTTCTTAATATTTTATACTTTATTCCGTATTTCATTATTATTTTATGTGACTCCTTGGATATATTGTAGTTTCTAAATTCGTCAGTACTTAAGAGGATACTACAAAATTAGAGGTGGTGGGGGATCAGAAGTATGTATGAGAATACTTCAGGAAAAATTTTTTAAAGACACTAGAATTAAGAAATATATGATTAATAACTTACCGATAGGTATTGGTGTAACTGGTAGGACAATATGAAACAAAAATACATTAGCAGAATTTTTGGGTTAAGAATATAGTTTCTTTCCTTGTTATTTCCAAGGGATTAACAAAGAGATTTTTGGAAGACTCTAAACCTCTCCCGGAAAGATATGTACAATAGAAAAAGAGGGATTAACCTTAATGCTTTTGTGGTAAAGGAATAGTCCTAGTCTGGTTTGAGTGGCTCTATATAGTATATTTCAATTTTGCAAAGACGAAAGGCAACTAATACATACATGCTTAGATCATTTTTTTTCTATCTGGTCCGGTTAAGGAGAGTTTAAGTACTATATAGAACTTTTATACAATTGCCAATTTAAATGCTAATTGCAGTTATTCTCTTTCCTATTTTATCTCTGTTCCTTCTTGGTATCTCCACATTTGTTATATCTCATTCTGTGTAGCTTTCCTTCTTGTAGCAAGGAAAATTTTCATTTGTTATTAAAAGCTGTTTAAATTTTTTAAAGAAGACAAAATGCTTCTTTTTTAGTCTCTTAGTCAAATGATTATTTTTTAATGGGTAATTAATAACCCAGCAAATTGCTGAGTGATGGGGGGAGGGAATTTAAAAATACAAGCATTAAATGGGATTTGGGTCAGAATTAAGAAAATTTTTCTCCATGTTTTGGGGCATCAACTGTACCACATTAATGAAAAAAAAGTAACTTACTGATAGGTATTGCTGCATGTGCTAAAATTCAAATACAAAGTATTAGGGTGAGTTGACACAATAGTATTGACAACAATAATAGAATTTTTGCTGATTTTTTTTTTAGTGTGTAAAGTCTTGTTTGTTTTTAGATAGGCAATTTATCTAGAAAAAACTAACATTTATTTTTCCATTAATCTTTATTAGCAGTTCTTTTCATAAAATCATAAATAGTGCAATGAAATTCTGGTAATTGGAGGAAGGCATGAAGAAATATAAATGCCAACATTTCTTTTAAAATGGAAACAGTGGGGCTGGCGCTGTGGCGCAGTGGGTTAAGGCCTGGCCTCCCATATGGGCGCAGGTTCTGATCCAGCTCTCTGCTGTGGCCTGGGATAACAGCGGAGGATGGCTCAGGTGCTTGGGCCCTTGTGCCCACGTGGGAGACCCGAGGAAGCTCCTGGCTCCTGGCTTTGTATTGGAGCAGCTCCGGCCGTTGCGGCCATCTGGGGAGTGAACCAGCGGATGGAAGACCTCTCTCTCTGTCTCTGCCTCTCTGTAGCTCTTTCAAATAAATAAAATAAATCTTTAAAAAAATGGAAACAACTGCATTTAAGGGAAATCCCATAGTAAATGTATAATGTACATGACAAACAGAAAGAGGTCTCCTTACAATTGCAGATATCAATAATGTAAGTTTTCAGGACATGAAAATCTCCAGTGTTTCAGGACACCGATAATCTTCAGTGAATGAGGACAGAAATATACTCTTATGTGCTACTTAAACATTATCTGTCAAATGTAAGAATTCCATTTCCAGAAATGGGAGAGAGGAACACTTTTTTCTTCCTGTTCTCTTCAATCTCTCTTGATGTGAAACGTATCAGGAATATTTAAATTTATATATAAACTCTGGGAAAGCAGTATCTTTTCCTGTCTTGATTCTTGCTGTATCCTACTCTTTGGCACAGAGTAGGCCTTTGTTACATTTTAAATGAGTAAAATATCAATTAGTTTAACTTTGCCAATTCAATTACATTTCTTTCATCTTTTTTATTTTTCTGCCAAAATCATTTATATAGTATAAAATAACATAACTTCTCATGTGACAATTTTTTAAAATTTTTGTATAGGAGGAATAATTTCAAATGTTCTGTAGCAGTGAAATGACTATAGTTAACAACAATGTTTTATATATTTTATAAAGAACTAGAAGAGAAGAATTTGTAGGTTTCAATACAAAGAGATTATATTTAAGGATATGGAAATGCTAATTATCCTGATTTATTATTATACATTATGTAAGTGTATTGAATTATTATACTGTATCCTGTAAAACATGTACAGTTATGTGTCAGTTAAATAATCTGATTTAAAATATGTTCAAAGTATCTCTAATTTCAGGTCACCTTTTGCTAGCTCATTATTTGACTTGCCATCAGTGGATCTTTTATCTTTTAAGATATTCATCGGTAACTTTAGAGGAAACTATTCAATATAAAACAAAAGAGATTGAAAAACTTGAATGTTAAGGTCTTAAATGTTTGGAGAACTGTATGATCAGAATAAGAGCCAACCCCAGAACTGATATAAACAAAGTAAACTTACTTGGCTCTTGTTTTAGTGTGAAAAAGAAATCAAATAAATGAGAGGTTTCTTGAATGTGAAGACATTATTCTCAAACTCTTTCTGCTGAAATTTTAAAAACAAAACTTTGAGAGACTACCAAACTTTCTAGAATCAATCAGGGGCCAACATTATGGCATAATAGGTATGGCTGCCACCTGTGATGCTGGCATCCCATATGGGCTCCAATTCGTGTCCCAGCTGCTCCATCTCTGATCTAGCTTCCTGCTAATGGCCTGGGAAAAGCTGTGGCAGATGGCTCAAGTATATGGTCCACTGCCAGCTTTGTGGGGTGACCTAAAATGACTGTTGTGGCTATCTGGGGAGTGAACCAAAGGATGGAAGATCTCTTTCTCTGTCTTCTCTTGTCTCTGGCTCTATCTCTCTGTAATTCTGACTTCAAATAAACAAATAAATAAATGAATAACTTTTTAAAAAAATCAAATATAGTGGGAAGATAAATATCTTCAGATTATTCTATTAAAACCCCTCTTAATTTGGGTATCTTTTTGGAAAGAAAGATTAGGAGTGGAATTATTGATAGAGGCTATTTTCTTCTGATTTCTTTTTGTTAATTCAAACTTTCCTAAAGCATTTTATACCACCAAGAGTTTATTACCTTCTTCTTACGCTGTCCTTTCCTTTTACTTCTTTGGAATGACTGTGTTGATTCATCATAATCATTATACTACAATTCTTTTTTGTTAATAATTGTGTTTTTAGGCTAAGTATAGAAATACTTTTCTTTTTCATCCATTAGCATAAATATATTATGGCTGGGTGACCATTTGGCTGAATGTAGGCACTGTTTGACTTTAAAGTCAGTTAGGTAGACTTGGCGCTTAGATGTGTGAGATCATGGGCAAGTTACCGAGTCTCACAATTTTCTTCTTTATATAATGGGAATAGAAATATTTATCATAAATACATATAGACACTCATACATACTTACACACACACACACACACACACACACGTAAAGCCTTGAGTACAGTGCCAGGCACATTGTTAGTACCGGGTAAACATTATCACAGCATCACATCAAGTAATCAGGTATCAGTTTCAATTGGAGTCTCCAAATAGACATCGATAGTTGAAAATGGAATAAGTACCTAGAAATAGTAATAGGGAAAAAAAAACTAAAGGGTGATTAATGCTGAAAAAAGTTAGCAAATAGAATCAGAAATACAAATCTTAAGTCACAACAGGGTACAAATCAGCCTCTAAATAGATTCCATAAGAAATAAATGTAATAATAAGATTGAAAGGAGACTTACTTGTAGGCTGCCCAGGTCTTGCTTCAATAAAAACAAACAAACAAATTAGTGTGGTTGTATGATGAAACAAATTTCACTTATGTCACTTGTGCCTTATACTGAATAATAGTAGAAACAGGGAGATTAAAGAGAGACCCCTTTGTTTTGGGAATGTTATTCAAGGATGGGTCCACAGCTAGTGATGGAGCACCCTTTTCTATTTTCTATCTAGGTCTCTGGTTGAAATTGAGAAATGTGTGTGCCCTAGCCTATTGAGATACTTTGTAGCCTTCCCTTCCTTCCTCATTTTCCTCTTACAGTCCCTACTCGCTTTCTCTCTCTCTCTC